TCGGAGGCGTTGCCAGCTGGGAACTTCCACCTTGCCCATGGCCACAAGCAGTCTAAGCCCCTCCAGATGGAGACAGGGCACAGGGAAAAGAGTCTGCCCTCACTTGCAGCTTTGTTTCTCCTTGGCTAGCAAAAATCTGGAATCTTTTGTAGTGGTTACCATGGCTAATTTGCTGAGGCCTTTAGTTTTCACTCTGGTCTCTAGTACTACCAAAGGGTTTTTTGCATTATAGCAGCACTGAGAAATGCTCACTTGCCCCAATCAGGACACCAAGCACAGTGCAACCACATAGTAAGAGACAGACTCTGTCCCAAAGAGCTTCACATAAGGAATGGCTAGGATTGGTACTTTACAGTGCAAAGGAAGGAAGGAAGATCTGATGAGACTGTAAAATCAACAAGGGAGGAAATAGTCCCACCACTCATTTGCGTGTACTTCTCTGAACCAGCTAAGTTAGAGGCTAGTTTCCATCTGGAGTTAAGGAAGAGTCACCTTCAAAAGGCAATTCAGACCATTGAAGTTGGGATCCTGCTCCAGATCGCCTTCTGAAGCTATGGATGAGTACGCCTCCAAAGATGGCAGCTGGCGTCCAAAGAAGCAAGTTGGTTTATCCAGCTGAGACTTAACCAAGTCACCATGGGAGTAACAAAACCCTGTATAATTTGAGTCTTGGTCATTGTTTGAACCACAGCTTGCTCTTCTTTCTTGCCAGAAACAGAAGCAGTAAGCCAAGTAGCTCCTCTGTAAATGGAATATAACCAACGGTCTGTTACCTTGTTCCAGTGCCCCAGGTGGCTTTCAGCAGAGGTCACCTGCATGTGTGAAGCAGTAGTTAGAATTCAAAGTATCAAGAATCATGCTAAGTAGTTACTTAACAAGGCACAGCCACAGAAAATGAAAATATTTTAAGTAAAATCCTCCCCAACCTCCAATTGCCTATCTTCCAGTCCAGCAAGGACTACAAATTTTCATGAGCTCATACAGGCAAAGGTAAAAAGGAACAAAAACATACAGTGTCTATGGCTCTCAGAAAAATTTGTCTGCAGTGTTTACTGCTGCCTGTAATAGATTTAGCTATTATATGCCATGAAAGAGAACATGACTGGCAAAAAGGCAGGAGAGTATCAGTAAGGTATGAAGAGCAGAAAACCAGGTTAGAGCTAGGTATTTAGTAAGGAAAGACAAAGAAGACAATATAGAGGGTTAAAAAAGAAGGGATGAAGTGTGGCATAAAACGAACATTGTATCAGGGAACAAATGTTATGACTGCTTTCAAGGAATCACTTCCTATACACTGCTTTAGTTGGCATCTCAACTGGTGATAGGAAGCTGCTAAGTAGAAAACTAGTTGGAGTGGGGGAAGGTGGGAGCTTTAAAGCACAAAACAAAGGTCTTGGGTGTTGTAAGCATAGTAGCTCAGGGTTATCTATGATCCAAATCTCTCACACCCTACAGAATAATACCCTTATGACTCGTTTCATTCCCAGTGGTGGAATTTGGCACGGTCTTTAAACGAACTTTGTTTCTTAAATACTAGTGATTCAAAAATATCAGATTTAAGAGTAATGTCTTGAGTGGAAAACCCTGCTAAAAAGATTAAATTGTCTATACCTGCAAGCTAACGTCCCTGTATCAAACTTCTGAAAAGGAATGAATGAATCTGAAAAAGTTTAAAAGCATTAAAAATCTTGTTTCTTCTCTTACTATACATTTCAGGCATATTCCTCTGAGCATCACCACTCTTACAAAAAGACCCGACACACGGATCTTCAAAGGTGTATAGCCACTTAAATCGTATTGAATTCAAAGGGAGTGAAACGCCTCAGTGCTTTCTGGGACTCTGGGAGTGAGGGTTCATTGGCTTGATTGTGAATTAAGGACCATCAGCAGGAGTGTGCTCAGCACCCGGGAGGACAAGGATTGTAGTCTGTACAATCAGATAGCACATTTCTTCCCCCTGAAGGCACTGACAAAGCCGTTAGGACTCCTATTACAATGCTCTGAGATGCGCCTGGAAGATGATGCTCTCATTAGACCCTCTCTCATGGAGCCGCTCATACTGTATCGGTGCAAGCTCGCTCCAATAGTTTTCATCCTTCTACAGCCATCTATAACTGGTTTCCTTCAGAAACTTGGAAGGTTTTTAATGATGTGTATCCAGAAGACTGAGATACGGGTTCCTTGCAGAAAAAAGGAGAAAAAAGCTCTTTTCGCACATTATGCCACTATTGTCCATTCTGCATAGTTTACACAAAATTGGATTTTAAAAAGACATAGGCTATTCTTTTCTCTTAGTTACACGGTTGAAATTTAGGGAAATTTCACTTTCATCAGATTTAAATGGGAATAAGGGTAAAATACAGACAGAAGTGCTACAGTGTTGAAGAGAGAAACAAAACCAAACTTGAATATATGGCTGCATACATTTAATTGCTTACCAACATAATTGGCAATTACTGAGGGAGAAGAAAGATTTCCCAAGTCTTGCTCAAGAAAGCAAATTTCAGTGTCACAAGTTACCTGTGCCAAAGTAACTTGGATAAAGGCTTTGAAGTGTTTGCAACAAGCTTGTAACAAACGCCCCACCCCACCCCTGCCACCCCGAAATAAAAACCCTCCTGGAAATTATGTATCATGAGGAGCTAATTTTTTTTCAAAAAAGGACACCACAAAAGCTGTACTATGAAGAAATAAACAATTTGCAAGAAATTGGACCTATTTATGTACAAATCATTCACAGTAACCGATAGCCATATTCTTAGCTGATGAAAACTGGTAAAATGCCATTGGCTTGTGTGGAACCACACAAATTCACAAAAGGGCTTGCCTACAGCCACATACTTAAGTATGGGACTATCCTGAAAGACCAATTGGTCAGTTAGCTAAAAGCTAATGTAAGTAGGGTGTTACTGTATTTTAAAGAATCTGGACAAGCCAAGGATCTGGTCTCTTTTTTGTTCCTTTTATCCTGATTACTATAATAATTTTAATTAGATGGCTTATAAAAGCTTGCCATTTCCTTTACATTTTTACTAGCTATTTTTTCTGAACAAAAACCCACTCTTGGGAAAAAGTATTTCTTCCCCATAGCAATGATGGGGTACTCCACACAAAGAAGCACCTAGCAGTTTAGTTCACATTTTTTAATAACATGGCACAATTTACATTACACAAGTCTTCGCTGATGAGGAAACATGCTGAAGATTGAGAGCCGCTTCACTTTTCTTTTCACATAGGATCTAGAAAGGACTTTATTACATACAGGATAAACAGCAAAAAGGTTCGTATATAACAATCTCTTTACAATACTGAAAGCTACCACTACGGTTCCAGTGTACATATTCTTCAGGGTTGGGTTTTTTTTTTATTTTTCCTTTTGTTCTTAAAAAAAAAACCACTGCACAACATCTGGAGTTCACAAAATCTGAAGCTCACAACTAAACCTTCAGTTGACTACTAAAATAGATCTCTGATCATTAGAAACAACTGTCTGTAGTTAACTTTTTTCTTTTTTTTTTTTTGCCAAAACAGGATAACAACTTCAGATAGCACTTTAATACACTAGAAGACCAATGGAACTAATTTTATTTCATACATATATTTTACAGTCCAGTAGACAAGATATTGAATTCGCTCTGATAAAGTCATATTCTCTCCAAATATTTAGATAAGAAACTTAACGCATTATAAAAAAGTGTGTTATGAAAAGACAGATTTCAGAAGATTGATGCATATTTCTAAAAAGGACCACATTCTTCATGTTATTTCATGTCTTCTATGATTAGGGAACAACAAGGCTGACCTGTTAACTATTCACAGACTTTATTACCAACTGAAATACAATAAATTGCATTATGAAATCTGCATCGGAGTTCATTGATTACTGATCCACAGTGAAAACATATCCATCATTTAGAAAAGTATTAGCTTTCTTGTAGGATTTGTTTCAATATAGCTAAAAATCACTAACAAAAAAAAAGTGTGTGTACAGAGAAAAATGACACACTGGCAATATAAACAGACATGAATGGCAGATTTTCTTCCAAAAATAAATTTGACATGTTAAGTGACAAAAGTTCTGGAAAATATCCAGCATTTGATTATTACTCTGTTTAACCCAGATTTATGTGACTGAAACCCAATCTGTCATGACTACAGTATCAGTGATTACAGATCGCTAACCCTGACGCGTTCTAAGGAATACACGAGCTACAGTAACATCAGCATCATGATGCAGGGGTTCAGACAGAAAACTACACTTCTAACGGGCTTTTCTTCATCAAAACAAGCAAGAGAAATAGGCTTCTATTATAGATGAGCTTGTTCAGGGAAAATATGACTTTAATTATGTTGTGTGTTGAAAAGGCTCCTTTGAGTTATAAAGGCTTTTGTGAAAAGCCTTAAAATTCATTGCATAGTTGAAGGGGTTTAGCTGTCTATAACAATATATGTAACACAGCATAAGCAGACTGTGTTGATCAATATTAAGTTTGCAAATAGCACAGTTTAAGAAGTATTAATGTATTATGTTACTTAATTTTATCTATTTACATTTGTACAAAGTAAAGCTTTCATCTTACCCTTTTTGCATATATGAACCATTAACCCATGAAGCAATCTTTTTACATAAATATCTACAATTGTCTTCACTTCTGGTCTGAAAGAGCTTTGTGTATGGTTGACATTGATGGTGGTTTGTTTCTAGTCAAATCATTCAGATTAATGTCTTGTTCTTCAGTTCAAATTTTGAAATTTTTAAACTAGAAATAAAATAGAGTAGGAGACACAAGGAACATGTGGACTTGGCTAAAAGATCTGGAAAATTTCAACATATAATATACAAAAAAACCATTTCAAAATCTTTGCACTCAGGTCTATACATATTGTACAGTGGGTCACATCCCCAGTCTGTATCAATGACTAGTAAGAAGGTCTTTATATTATGTTCATTTACAATGTTCTGTCCCTCTTTCTCTGGTTTTTATTTAGTCTCAGTCTGCTTATCGAGCCTCAATGTCCTTGAGGGTGTGAGAAGGAGGCCTCTCTCTCATCTCTGTTGACAGAGGAGTAGTCCTTCTGGGAGACCCAGGCCGAGGTCCCAGAGTAGAAATAAGAGGTGGAGGGGCACTGAGAGCTGCTGTGGGGGGAGTTTTATTGAGGATGCCATTTTGGTGTCCCGTTGGGGGACTGACTCTGGGGTAGTGCATGCTAGGAAGTCCTGGCGTGATTAGGCTTGGGTGAGGCAGGTGCCCATCCAAGGCGGCAGGGTGAACTGAGTGCAGGCGTGCATGTTCATAGTCCTCTCTGAGCATGTGCAACCGTTCCCGATCATCCAAGTGGTTGCCCCTCTCATGCTCACGTCGAGGGTCAACAGAGAGAGGGTGGTGGTGATGGTGGTGGTGATTGTAGTCGTGAGGTTCCCGATCCCTGAATGACCTGTCTGCTTCATATAACCTTGGCGCAGAAAGACGATGAAGGGGGTCATTTCTTAGCAAAAAGTCTCTGCCCAGGGGGTCTCTCCGATGAATATCTAGCTCTCTGTAAGGATCTCTTAAGGGATCTCTCATTGGATCCCAGTGGAAAGAAGGATAGGGGAAACGTTCTCCACCAGGAATTGGGCTAATTCCCATAAAAGGGGTCATCATGCGAGTCCTATCCAGGCCACTGATGCTGTTCATGTGATGTATACCAGTTACACCTACAGTCATGGGCATAGACACTAAAGGACTTGGATGGACGTTAGATGTAGATATAGGTGGTGGCTGATCAGATGACCTATGAGTCTGAGGTCCCTCAGGTTGAACATCATGGTCTTCCTTTCGTTCCTCCTTCACTTTGACTTCATTGCTTTTCTTCGGATTATCATACGCCGGCTCATTCTTCCTCTCAGCCTCACGGTTTGAAGTACTATTAGGCCTGGTGCTGTCCACAACAGGGGGCCTAGCATAGGGTGAAGGAACCCTGGGCATTTGCTTAGACTCTTCCACCACTCGGCTTTCATGGCTCAGGCCTTCTTTCTCCGAAATATAGTTGTCCTTCACCTTGTGCTCTTCAACATTAATTTCCTTTCGAGATTCGGAGTGATCCCTCTCTCGTTCTTTGGGTTTCTCTTTTTCTCGAACCTCGGGATTCAGATGGCTCCTGATCTGCTCATTTGAGCTGCGATTATGTCCGAGGGAGTTTACTGGATGGATAGGTGCTGGCGAAGGATGGCTGGAGTGTCTTTTCTCAATGCTCTCCCTAGAAGAAAGAAAAGTGTAAAAATGAAGGCATGAGAAACGCTGCAAATAAAACAAAGCATCTAGGGTGTCTGACTTCATACCTGTTGCTTTGCAGAAAGCTAGTAACATGCACCATTAAACACACTGTTCCTTTTGCACACCCAAAACACCAGAAGAACATCCCATCTCTAAACTAGGCCTATTCTATGATCTCGACACAGAAGAAGATCCCTGAAGCTGCTTTGTGAATGATCTGATTGAGATTTCAAACACTGAAGTCCATAGAAGGCTCCCAAAGGAATTTAGCTCTAGTACACGTATTTCTAAGACAACAGCCTTAACTGTTAGCAAAGAAGAGAGAGAAAAATAAAAACACACTAATTTCATCCAAAAGAAGTGAGGCAGTTAAACCCAAATTACATGGTTAATAGTATTTTACCTGCTTCTTCTATTAAGAATACATTTGGGAAAATAGATGACATTTTGTTCAACTGACTTTTAGAAAAATTTCTAGGCCTACGTACGTTACTAATCTCTTATCTCTATTCTCTTCAATCCTCTAGCTTTTCAATTTACTTCTCACAATTCAATGTACTTCTTAAAATCGAAAACAAAAACCTCTCAAGACACCAGTACTGATGGAGACAATCCACCTCTCTGAACAGGTAGGCACTTCTCTAAGTATGTAATGAACCTCAGTGGAGGTGTTTTAATAGAGGTGGCCATCATGCATAGATTATGTATCTACTTCCTCAGCAGAGATCAGTCTACTCTATATGCCCATGATTCAGGCTAGCTCTGAAAACATCATCTCTCTGGAGTCAGTCGCTCTCCAGATTACCAACCCTTTCCCATTTCTAGGGTAGAGCAAGCAGAGCAGAGACAGGACCAATGCATCTCCCTGCCAATGGCAGGAAGTCTCAAAATATTGTGAATTCATTCCATCTTTCAAACCTATTTATGTTGCACAAAAGATGAGAGAATAATTGTCTGTCAGTGGACAAAAACCTAAATATGTGAATGGATCCTGTACAACTATTTTCTGAAAGCAGTGCTGACCAGGAGTTAATATGGGCAATACTAAGTAGAAAAGCTTTCGTATTTAAAATGAATCAAATTCATAAGGTAAATCTAATTCCTCAGTTCCAATGATTTTAACCTCTCACTAATGTCAATTGATCTCTGAGTTGGGAGTCTTTCCATAAAGACAGCTCCAGATATTCAGTGTTGGACATGTGCTGTTTGCTGAGCATGGAAATTCTGTTCCATGCGGGGTGATGGACAATGTGCTGTTAAAGGCAAAAGTGAGGGATAAGCAGCGAGGCCCTCTGAAGTCCCAACTAGCTCCCATTTACATGTTTCTCTTCGGGTGCTGCAGTCTCTGCTTAGCAAAGCATAACCTGAACACGCTCGGATGAGGACAGCAGGCTGAAATGCACTCTGGACAAGATGAGCAATACTGGCTGGCTGAAGGGCAACTCGGAGAGTGACTTTGAAGTGGATACTTGCTCCTTCACCTATATAATTTCTGCTACCTGCTTTTTTGCGGAGCTGAACTGCGTAAGATTTCTACCTGTAGGTATTTTTGGATGGTGAAACTGCAGTAACTGCAGGAAAAATATCTTTCAAAAGGAAACTTATTATTATAACCTCAGCAGACGCATCTTTTGCTGTGTCTAGACTGAATTGTTGAAACTGTCATTTTATGGGCCATGTCTGAGAGACCTCAGAGAGTCCAGAATGTGACTGTTAGAAAACATTCCTAAGTTGGAGCATTTGATACCAGAACTGCCTAGCCTGCACTGACTACCAATTAACTGCTTGGTATCAGGTTCTGCTTTGATGGACTGTGCCCTAAACAGTCTGGAAAATGTGTCCTGGCTCTAATTTCCCTGCTCTTGCTTTCCACCAAAAGTTGAGGCATTTGATTTATCAGCTTCCAGATTTGGACACAGTGAGACCAAGTCAAGGCACTCCAATGAAGGCTCCTCAACGTGAAGACTCGATTCTTTTACTTTCCTGGGAAAGCACTGGCTTGTGGACTCTGCAATACCTAGCCTTTCATTTATTTTGCTCATGGGACTAGTTCGGAGGGCACCTTTAATTGTTTTATTTCACTAGGAGAGCTCATTGAGTCCTTTTGCTGATATTTAATCAATTTTATACGTAATTGATGTATTTTAAATTATACATAAAATTTAGAGAAAATAACAGGCATTTTCTGTAACTAAAGAAAAATATATGTGCAACCAAAATAACATATTCCTTTGCCAATTTCATCCTATTCATTTACAGTGATGGTATTATCTCAAGAGGCTATTCATTATATAGCTCACTTAAGTGAACTACATGTAGTTCAGTGGTCAGAGAGGGAGTAATTTTTTATCCTCAGATCTGTCAAGGGCTCCTTAGGTTAATACGGGAACAGCTCTGAGCCTCCGTCTCCACAAAGAAGAAACTTAAGATCATGTTCTCAAATGAGCTTATTACTAAGTAAGGTATGTTTTGAGGCTGTATGCGACACTGAAAGATACTGAGTATCTTATGCCGAGTACATACACATAGAATTACATACACATAAATGTCGTTTATTAGAACAGAATTGCTCAGTGACATCTCAAACAAAGTATCACCGAGAAGGAACAAATCCTATTTTTCACAATAGCTATTGTTACTGATTTTTTTCTGACGCTGGGCTGGAGTAACAGAGTCCTTAAAAAAAAAAAAACCTCCACAACTGCAAACGATGTTCCAGGAGAAAGTGGGCACCAATCAGGACATTGCAGTGTAACTCCCCAGCCAGTTCTGCACCTAGGAAAGGTTCACAGGTTGTAGTTTTGTGTTATCTAAGCTACCTTGAGGGATTTACCTTATCTCAATCTAGCTGGGAGGGGGCTGCGATGCACTGGCCACACAGCTTACCCAAGAAGAGCGACCAGTTAGTCATTGCACCCCACTCTAATACCGATCTTAGATGGGGAAGAGCCAAGCTAAGAGGTACCTCTGAGGTACCTTTCCACTGATTACAGAAGAAATCTAGATGCATGCTTTTGGCTGGATGGTCCATTTGGGGGGCTGATAAAGTTAGACCCTTGATGACAGGATGATTTTGAGATGAAATCATAGCTCTGGGCATGATTCCCAGTTCTTCCTGTTTGGGCAAATTAGCTTAAAATAGGTAACAGAGATTGGGACCTCAACTAGAAAGCAGGGCTACATCCTCACTCCGCTGGGTGTGAAGATAAAAGAATAGGTATGAGAGGCTCACAAACTACTCCAGACGTTATCAACATAGGGAGCACGTATGGGAAGGGATTCTCAGCATCTTCTCATACAGGCAACAGTGTGAGCATGCTGCAAAGTAGAACTCTTCAAAACCACAGAGATGGATGTACAGCAACACTAGATCGGCGAAAACACTATTGTACTAAACTGGTAGCCATAATTGTGCAGAAGTATGAAGTATGAATGACGCTTACTTTTAAGCTCTCAAATTACTGAAAATAAGTATGTTCTGAGCTATGATATGGAGTTCAGGCAATGCCAAAGCAGCTTGCAAGGAATGTTTTTCTGAAAGGGATTTTCTTCAGCAGTAACACTTCATAAGAAAACAACAAAACAGCACTGAAATAATCACATAATTCTGAAGACTACCCATTATCATTAGTAACAAAAATACTTTGCCATTCAAGCCAGTAAAGTTACTCACATGCTTAAGCATTTTGCAGGACAGAATCCCCAATTTGTAACAGCAATTTATTTTGAAGCATTAACATCAGACATGAAAATAATGAAGCTATGCTATCAAACAGAAAATATTCCAAATGGAAAATGTAGGTGAAAAGATCTGTAGTTTGACTCGCTCTTCACATTTTACAGTAACATAAAAAGCTCTTAAATGTATTTTTAGAATATCTAATGTGTTAGCATAACTTCTTTTAGAAAAGGCTACTAATGCGTATATTTGGGTTAGTGACAGAGAAGTCAGAAAAGCACATCTCCTAAATATTCTTTTATGTTAAAAAATTAGAAACAAATAGCCATTATGTAGTAAAGTAATGTGCAAACTTAACAGGAAAGCCATTAAGCCACAACTGAAAAAGCTGGTATCATCCTCTCTACATTTTTCAAGGAAGGCATGACACTTGCTGAATGGCAAATTCTTTTAATTTGGTACTTAAATGTTAAGAGGAATTGTTACTGAGTTAACTGTATAATGGGAACAGTCCTGACAAAAAAAATATGACCAGGTTTTACTTACATTAACCCTTCCCAGCCTGGACATGTTAGCGTGCAAGTCCATGTAAAACACTGAATAAAAATTGTGCTTGAAGGTGTATAACAGCAGTGCCTGTGTGTGTGGCTTTTTTGAGGGGAATTAAGGTTGATTTAATGAACTGCATGCACTGAAACTTGCTGTGGTATTGGAACATGACATATCTGGTGCATTTCATGGTGTTATAATTTTGTAACTTTATCAGTGGTCCCTCTGGTCAGTCCATTTTTGAGGAGGGAGATAGCATTACTTGTTTTGCAGACAAGGTCAGATTTACAAAGTTATTTAAGTATTCAAAGGTGCAGATATGTGTCTGATGGACTTTATAATCTTTTTTCATCCTGTCAGGCACCTATCTACATGTTAAGTCTTCAAAGGACCTAAGAAAATGTGACCCACAAGGTATGTGGGGGTGTGGGTCTGATTCTATTCTCACTTGACACTGCCTGAACTCTGCTCCAGCAAAGCTCATTCTAATGAAGTGCGGTGCAAGTGAGAAGAGAAACAGATGCAGTAGGAAACACCTGCATTAGAAACCTGCATCTTCCGTAGTGCCTCACGTCGCAGGCAGCAATGGTGTCAGCTCTCCAGGTGTCCCTCTACTGAAGCTCTGGTTTAACAATGTGCCAGGCTGGGAAGGGTTAAAAGCGGAAGAGAGCCCCAAGCTTTGAACTAGACAATTCTTGGAAGTGTTCTTTCGTACCTTTCTTTGTCATCTTTACTAACAGATGAGTCTCGTTTATCTACATCTCTATCTCTGTCATGAGCTGCAGCAGATGAACTGCGCTCCAGCTCTCCTGGCTTCAGCCAGGGCGGAGGGGTCGGGAACGAAGGAGGAGTTCGGTGCAGTCGGTTCCAGGGCTCGTGAGGGTTGCTAAAGCTCTGCATACTGGGGCCATCCTTGTGGCCGAACATTGAGTTGGGTGCTGAAATGGTGAAGTGGAAAACAAAAAGGTTTAAGAAAAAGGTATGCTCTAGTGAAGGTACTTACCAAAAAAACTTTTACAGCACTCAGAGTTAAAATGAATACATATTATTGGGAGCTGGAAAAGGAAAGGAAATTAACAGAGATTCATTAGAGGGTCTCATTCCTAAAAATGGGCAGGCATCTGACAGCTGTTTTAATTGGAAAGGGAAATGCTGTGGATAAAATTGACAAGGGATGAATTAGTAAGATAAAAGTGACAATGATCCTTATTCCAAATATTTTGGAGACATCAGGAAATGACCATTATATGGACTATAAATAATGGAACTTGTTGCATTCGATCCTGAACCAAAGTAAAATGATATGTGATTGAAATCATGCCAGATTTGAAGTATGAAGAAAGAGAGTGATTTTAAAAGGATGATCTTTTGTGACTGGCCAAATCTAGAGAAATGTTGATGATCCTGGACAAATAGATGCAGGTTAGTGATCTTTTCCAGGCACATGTCCTGGATTACTGGTGAGAAAGGAAAAAAAAAAAAAGTTCCCATCCACAGCTAGGGATCCTGTACACATTAACTATTTTTGAACATGCAACAAAACCATGAGAAATTTCACAAACTCCTTAGACTCATAGGTTCTATAGTCTTTTTTTTTTTTTTTTTAAACTGAACAATGTAATGGTGACATTTAGCACTATGTGAACCCAAACTATTAAGTAACTACAAGAAAATAATTTACTGATCACTAAAAAATGATGTTATTTAGACAAAAAAGGTCTCTTTTCAAATTCCCATCTCTTAGTGGTATGTGGGCTAAGCAACTGGTAAAAAAGACAGCAAACAGTCACCATCACTCAATATCCTGAATTACACAGCAAACAAGAATTCATAAACAAAGAGGCTACTCACTGACTGTCGGGTTCCCGAGTCCCCCGAAGGCATTACTACCCACTGCAGTGAGACCGCTGAAGGAAGCCGGTCGATTGAAAGGCTCTGCAAACCAACGGAAACAGCTGAAGCTCACTGGCATGTCGGTAATTATGATAAAGCATCAGAGTGTTATCCAACTGCATTACGTCTGTATGAAAGCTCAGTCTGCGCCCATCGGTAGTTGAACATCATCCTCCCACAACACAGCAGTGATTGTGAGGGGGTGGGGCATAAAATTTTTTTTTTCCCAATGACAGTATGCATGGGATCATTTTACTACAAAAACTTCCTTTTCGAAGTAAAACAAGATGTTAAAATATACACGGTATTGAGGCCTGTACTTCTGCATAAGTAGCTACTTCATTTAAAACCTGCAAACGTCTCCATTTTTGTTTCCTTTTATTCCCGTCCAATTCAATTCTGTGGTCTTTCTCAGGAAATGTCCCTGGCTAGCAAGACTATTATTAACTCTGGCAACTGTGCTCCAAACACCTTCAGGCCATGTCTCCTAAACCACAGCCAGGATATAAATAAAATGTCCTATTATGCTGATATGTCATGCTGACCTGAACATTTTGTAATTCTCTTGGTATTTATTGCTAATACTATACGAAAAACCAGTACGGACTGAAAAATACTGGAATAATTTTTTTTTGTAGTTAATGCATATAGACTGTAAGTCAGTCATATGAAGAATATTCTCCTCTCACTTTACTTTGGAGAAGTCTAATGATTTTGATGAAATTACTTCTGATAAATACCAGCACAGAGAACAGGAAGACCAAACCTAGCATTTTCTATAGGCAGCTAAGTGCAGAATGATAAACCTACATCGTGAGTTCGCTGTACCAATTTGGTGACCCTCCCAAATCCTTCCCTACGTAAAATAAAATGTCAATTTAGAGTCTTGATCTCAGATGCTCCCGCAGGCAGCAGACCACCTTCTTACAACATCAGTAAGTTAGAAGGGAAATAACAACATTTGGTAACTTGGGTGGTTCCATTTTTAAATGCGTATTCACTAATTTTCACTAACAGACAAATTTGAGGTCAGATCACAATATTTTAAGGATATATTTCCCACTCATTTAAATGGAAAAGCAGACATCTAAGTAGGAGTTAGGAAAGAAACACCTCTATGAACCGAAGGCTTAATCTTAAGGCATTTTTTTTGACTGGTTATAAACTGTAGTCATAGAGTGAAACCTAACCAGCCGTGTCACTACAGTTCTCTAACGTCCAGACTGTTTTCAGAAGTATTTCAAAAAATGCTGTCAGTGATACTGTTATGTGTATTTAGAACTGCTACTTGGGTAATGACTAAAATTAAATGGCTAAAATGCACAATTTGTAAAGGTTAAGTAGGCAGGATACTCAGAGTCTCCACGTGGGCAACCTTTAATGCTCTCAATGGTCAATGTGTGTTACTTCTGAGTTGTATTCACCATTGGTTAGCTGCGGTGAGAACTCACCTAAGTGAGCAGCTGGGTTGAGAAAGTTGCTGTGGTGAGGTGGTGGGCCGAAAGGGGTGCCGGCTGGATGACCCCCACCTGCCAAAACAAAGCAAAAGGCGTGAATTCCTAGCAAAAGCTCAGAAAGGGACTAACTCTGCTCTGGGGTTGGCTATCATTTCTTAAATGGCAGCTCACGTGAGCAGAGATTGCTGTACACCGGGCAGGGGCTCTCAGGTCAGGATCCTATGCAAATAGCAGCTGCTTTTCTAAACAGAAATTCCCAGTTAGAGTATATGCGGGGTGGCGGGGAATGTTTCAGTACGGAAAAAAACCAGAGCATGTAAAATACAGCATATTTCCAACCTGTCATCTCCATGATGCATCAGACATCACTGTGTGAAGAAATGTTCCTCCATTTACTACCTGTATGGCATTTCAGCAGGTTGGGCTTTTTTAAAAGCTTACAGAATAATTTTGAAGTGTTTATCAAATAGACTAATAGCTCCTGGCATGTCTTGCATGCAGAGAGTTCATAAGCCAAAGCACATGGGAAATTTCCTTTTAATATGGCAAGGATTAGCACTTTAATGAGCATGCCACAAGGAGGAGATTTCACTTCTCAGTACTCACTGGCTGTGGAGAAGAGAGTCGAGGGCCGGGCCAGGTCATGGGGGTGGTGGATGGCTCCAAAAAGGCTGGGGCCTGGTGGCCTGCTCAGAAATTCAGGTTTCAGGCCGAAGTCCAGCTTGTGCGGATCAGACTGCATCTGTTTCTGAAATGTAAAAACAGGATTTGGAAGAGACTGTCCTAAAAGATAGCCATAAAAGGCACCTTCAGAATGATGTGGGTATAGCAATTTATTCATACTAACTGATGTTTTAACAAGTGTATTAGTTTTTGGGATCCTGAGCATAGGCGCACAGCTATTTTCCTGGAAGGAGGATCTAAGGCAGAGAGAGAAAATCTCAGGCTCCCAATGCACATTTCCCGCAAATTTTAACAGTGTTTTCACATATGCTCACATCCATCCCTCTGGACCAAAGCATTTCAGCACAGACCTGACTTAAAGAACAAACATAAAAATCTTTGAAGAGGCCTCAGACACTTGCTTAGCTGTAAGAATAGGTCTGTCTTAAAATAATAAAAGCAAAGCCGAAGAGAAATGTTAGTTTGGACCTGATCCCAGGTGGGCAGGCATGTTAAAAGCCGGGTGAAAGCATCAACTGCAACAGGCACAGCTGCCAGCTGACCCTCTTCCCGCTGCAGGAGTCCCTTGCCAGACAGTTAGGGCAGAGACAAGTCAATGGACACCTGAACCATTGATTTTAAATGTGAAGCCGCAATCAAGAAACTCGACGCAGTATATCTTTCAGTGCCTCTCAGACTGCAACTGAGCAAGCTAGGGGCTAAAATGAATCAAATTACGGATGAAGCGTATTTGAGTCTGAAGAACTGAAGTCCCATTTTGACTGCTTGCACTCCAGATTCAAAGCACTGTATGTCGCTGTCTTTATTTATATGGCGTCAGAATCAGCAGACTTCCTTTTTTAAGGTCAATTTGCTGAGGTAGCTGTATTGTAAATGATAAGTGAATGAAGGATGGGCTCTTCTTTGTGCCATGTACTAGTTTCAGTGGTCCCTACTTCAATAGTTTTATAGAATGAAGAGGAAAACCAAATTCCCAATTACCTGTGCTGCCAGAACTCCCTAAACACAGATTGCTGATTAATTGTGCAGGTCAGCTGAAAGGATTTACAAACATGAACACTGAACCAGTACATCTGAACAGTAATTCTGGAGCATGTTATGCTTTATAAATCAGTATTTAATACTGTGCCAGCTCAGAGTACTGACTATTACAATGATATAAATACGCATATTAAAAAGTTATGACCAAGTTAATGTGCATGCCTAGTAGCTGTTTCTCAAGTGCTAGTAACATGTCTATGTTGCTATGAGAACAACAACAAAAAAAAAAGGCAGGCAAAAAAAAAAGGCTTTATCAATGTTTTGAGATAATGGCCCGCAAAAATACCGAAATAGGAGAGATGGCCAAGTTAAGGTCATGTCTTTTAAGGAAGTAACACTGTAGTGCTTTAATAATTAAAAAAAAGTTCAGAAAATACAAATGCCTCAGTTGAAGCCTGCGTGCCAGATTTTTATATTGTGAACTCTTTTTATTCTTCTTTTTTAACAACCAAGTCATAAACCTCTGACAGGCATTACTCAGAATAGCAAAAGCTGGCTGAAACTTTAATTGCAGCCATACGAACAGTGCTGTTCTAATAATGAAAAAATCTCCTGAAAAAAATCTGAAGAGGAACAGGAATATCATTGATGTGTTAAAAGATTTTTGAATGTGTTGGTTCACCTTAAAAGAGTACCAAAGAAAATTGATCATATTTATTTTATCCCCAGTCACTGTTCAGGAGAGTACCCCTCTTGATGATAATCCTATGAATGTATTGTATTTGAAGTTCAGCAAATGTGTAACACCTTAGCTCAGAGCCCACTACAATCAACATAAATGTCTGCACTAATTTCATGGCATGTTAGATTGGGTCATAAGGCCTTTCCTAAAAGAGAGGGGGACAATTACAGAGCATAAATTCTCTCTTGAGTTCAGGCCAGAAACGCACTGGTCAGTCTAAGAAGGAGCGTAAAATTGATTTGTGCCCAGAGCTGGTATGCAATCCTGGCTTCATCTGAGGAATTCCCTGGGTGTGCAGACAGGTTACACAGGTCTGAACTGTGTCTTGGTGCAGAGGTATAGGCAGGCTAACAGCATCCACAGCTGCATGTAATTTTTCCTGGGGTCAGGAAGGTTGTGTTTTGAAGTTTCCTATCTTGCCTGCTTCTTCAGTGTCTGCTGTTGCCCTCTGCAAGCAATTACTAGTGGGCCAGATAGTTACCAATTCTTCCATACTTTGCAAGCAGTCTGGTGGCACCGCATGCAAACTTGAAATCTCTGAGTAAATATATTTTATTCCCTGCTCTACGGTCAGGCAGTGTCTTCAGCTTGTGCAGAAGAAAAGGCACCTTCATAGCCTTGGGCTACAAGGAGAAATCATTCTGTATGAGCCTTCAGCCAGAGATTGCACACTTCATGGTCGCACACAGAGGGGGGACTTCATTCCCGTGTGGGAGTCTGACAGCCCATGGGCACATAAACCAACTCGCCTTAATGACTGTAGACCATACCTAACTTTCTGACTGAACTGAGATAGTAAAATACATTTCCCAATTATTCTTGAAATTATCATCACGCACAGCCTCGAAAAGTCAAGTTACATCCTTTCCTGTACTTCTGGACTTTATTCCTATTTTTTAACACGCAAGGTAGAAAAGTATTAGGTAAAAGAAATGGCTGCATGAAAATGGCATTTACTATGAGTTATAAATACATCAGCATGACCTCTATCTGAATATCAAATCAAGGAAGATTCAAAGGACATAGATAACATGGGAATAATAATTTCATTTCAAGAAAATACCTTTTCGATAAAATAAAAAAAAGGACATATAACTCTCTAGGTCCATAATCTTGTCTTTTTTGATAATGGGAAGATGAATGAAGATCACTAGCAGGGGAAACATAAGGAAGCAGAGAAGAGAGATATGTCTACTGCAGCAAATTAACCTGTCAACCTTGTTTAAAAGGGTTATTTTTAAACTCTATTAGCTGCAGGTTTTAGTAGCTGTTCAACATCTTCATATTCTTACAGCACTACCTTATGCAATTCAATTGCATACACAGACTGCAAAGTGCTATGGACTCCTTGTTAATTTTACTTTCTAACGCAAGCTATTGACTCCCGAAGTACAAGTATGAACAGTAAAGAACACCAACCTTTCCTGACTTACTGAAAAACTTCAGGAGCAACACAGAATTTTTCAGTGACAAGTACAGTGAAAATATTATAAAGGGAAAGAAACCTTCTTCACAGAGTCCATGTGCAATGAAAATACAGTTAAAGTAAGAATGGAAAGACCTAACTATTAAATGAATAAATTATTTGGTTTTCTCTGATATCTGTTTCAGGAGAGCCTAAACTGGCCATGGCCCTTACCCTTGAAGTCTCAAAGCATGTATAACGAAGAAAAGATTTCCACCCCTTTACCTTCAGTGCAACGAGAGAGTGTCTGGATAACATTACATCTGAGAGGCTGTGTCTGCCTGACCAGCCCAGACACCTGCAGGTGCCAACCTCCAGCCTGTAAGACGGGTTGTGAAAAAAGACTGATGGGAGCCTGTGCAGCCATATTGGATAAAGCATCGTAGGGACAGGAGAAATCTTCCTGTGCCCTCTTCTGTCTGTGAACATTAATAAGAGGAATGGGATACACGTGCCGAGCTTCTCCAGACTTAAAAAAATTTAATCTTGATATGTTTGTGTCCTCAGCCATAAATAAAAGCAATGTTGTAGTTCACAGGCACACCCATTTAGCTCTTCCTAGCTACAAACTGGTTGTTATCGCCTAAGATCTGGTGTCCTTGCTCCGCGGCATCACAGACATTCCTTTGAGACTCTATCTTTCGGTTTGTAATTCCAATATGCCATCACTATGGCAGGTTATACTACAACGCTACATATGGTTACTTTAACAAAGCATTAGCCGTGGCATAGAACTGCTAACAGCAAGAAGCAAACTCTTCCTCTCACAGGTTTGCACTGTACCATTCATCTGAAATGCAGGTGTGCCCAAAAGACTGACCTTGACTTTCTGTTGGTGATGGTATATCTGCCAGGCGATGTGAACATGCATAGCGCACCACTTTCCAGGTTTCTGGAAAAAACAAAGGGATACGACATGGATCAGTAACTTTCAAAAACCTGTGATGCTTTATTCTAGTCATAGCAACTCTTGTCAACTCTTAGCCCACTGTGTTTTGGTCTACGGGATTCCCCAGGCCAAGATGACTGAAAGCAAAGGGTCTCCCTTCAGTGCCTTCCTCTTCCGTCCTCTTCGGAAACTAGATATGCAAACAATTTGCCCCTTGCTAAGAAGTTTATCTGGATACCCAGGAATGCTTCTGGTCACTCTCCTCCATGCTTGGGTTTTACGCACTCTTGCTATCTTCTGATGTCACTGGCTGAGAATGCAGCTTGTGTTGCTGAAATCAATGAAACTGTCTCCCAGTTAGCAGCTGCTCTGCATAGCTGGGTTGCTGCACAACTGTACATTGAGTTCATTTCCAAAAGTGCAGCTATTCTAAGACTAGCTTTTCCACCAAAAGATGAAAATGAAAGCACTTTAAAAGATCACTTTGGTTTTCAAAATGAATCTGACTCCCTCATATAATTGCTGGTCTGTACCTCCAAAACTTTGGCTCATCAATATACTGCAAAAATTGGAGGTCAGTCAATTCACTCTGGGAAAGCTCTTTGCATCCTTCCTGTCACCATGCTTTTCAGTCATGGGGAGGAGAGAGGGAGGAAAGAACCAGAGACTACTATGTGGGTTTTCTTGTTGATTTTGTACTCCATTTCCAGGACACCTGGAAACCTTGTCTGGAAAAGACTCGTTCAGGATATACTTTCTCCAATTTTGTTATTTAGGGGTCTATAGTTAACTACACAACTAACGATTCCTGCAGACTTAAAAATAATCACAGGAATTCAAGAAGCTTCTCAAGCTACTGGTAACTTACATGTTTCACAAACTATGGCATAGGGCCTGCCTTCTACTCCGAGGTGTATATCAACCAACAATTAAAAACCACAAAAAAATAAAACCCATCTCACACATACTCCCCTAAACTCAAGCCTTTTGCATATTCACAGCAACTGGCTGTGCTAGTGATTTAACGAGTTCATTTGGTCAGTAGAATTAAAATACAGATCTTCTTGAACACACTGAAAAATTAACAAAAAACCTTTTGGATCACTGAAAGACTGGATCTTTTGATCCTTATTTATAAAATATTTTGTGTTTGAAGTGGATTTTCTGTCTATATTTGACAGAATATACTTGGGTAGAAAGTACCATACTGAATAACACTGAAAACACACAGTAAATAATAAAAAGCAAGATCATTCAGTCTCCAGTGAAATGACAAGGGATCGCTGCCAGGATAGGTCTGTAGGATTTGGCTCAGGAAACCTTGTAAGCCAGTGTGATAGAAGCATTATCAATATTTAACCTCTAGAATTCCTGCTAGGGGGTTGCATGAGAAGAACAGAAAACTTCCAACTTTGAAACTGTGTATTTTCCTCGAGTGACCACAAGATGCATGCAAAGAAGGACTGACCATGCTGCTCAGCAAACACGGTGTAAAATACCAAGATGAAACATGGCATGGCTTTATAATTAGTCTGCTGCTTGAACCCGGTGGGGACTGAGACAAGCTTGACAAACTGTATCACATGAAGATTTCTTACCCTCAACATGGGCCTGAACGGATCTGTCAACTGTGAAGAAGAAATGACAGCTTGGTTACATGCCTGTCACTCAAACAATTGCTCTAATTAACAAATTTGTATTGCTTCATTAAGAGATGAAATTAAAATGTGTAATTTTACTTTCAAATGAAGCCCTTTTGGATAATAATTAGTCCTTAGCCTCCGTATTCGAGCCGGTCTCCCTCCCCCCATGGCTGTTCTACCTAAGTGTTGACAAGCAACTAAACAAGCCTCACACAGAGCGCTCTGTCCTCTGGCATCATCATTAATTTGTTGATTTAATGCTACAAAAATGGCTGGTTAACTACTCTGAAGAAAAACACAGATCTATCCTTTGGGCAAACTTCTGTTCTCATCTTTTAAAGCTGCTCAGCTTTAAGACCGGATAGCAGAGAGGGCCACTTTTTCACAGGCTTGATCCCACAAATGGGGTCGGAACGGGCTGCAATGGTGTTTCAGATGTGCCCCTGCAAACCAGTGACTGTGTCCGTTCAACGGCTATGGCATTAGGTCCTTGACTTGTACATTCAAATAGCCATTACCAACTACCTGCTTGCCCGATGTTCTCTGTCACAAAGTGGCTTTGCCTTAAAAGTTTTTCACATTGCAACAGATGTTGGTAAATGTGGCTGTATAAAAAACCAATTTTCTCATTATTATTTTTTGTGTGGCCTATTTTTTTGAGGTAGATTATTTTCTTATTCTCCTTTTTCACTCACATTTCATTAATTAATGCTGGAAAAAAAATTCAATTTATTGGGTATTTCTCATTTGTTTTGGATTTTCTTTTTTGAAATGCAATACTACTAGGAGATTTATAGGTCTAAGAGTGATGCAGCGATGGCACAATACATCATCCTGAAATAATAGAAACTACACTACAAGTTGAAAGGGACCATAAAGCTAAATGACATAATGATGGGAGGCTCCAGTTATCTTTTCAATTAGATGGAATAAACAGAAACAAAAACACGTGGTTCCTTTTGGAATAAAGCTCAATTACAGCACCAATTCAGAGCAAACCAAAGTACTGGAACTTGGGATAACCCAAAGAAAATAACTCTGCTGTACTTCAAAGTTGAACCATACCACAACATGGACTTTCAAAGAGACCTCCCCATTGCTTTTGTCAGAGAGTTCTGCTAAAAATGTGACTGCGTGATGTTCCTCATTGCAAACAATGTATATTAATCCAAACATGCAAATGACCCATGGGCATTTGGAAAGAACAGAAAAAGGCTAAAAGACAAACTGCTGAGACAATAAATGCTATTCACATACGCTAGAACTCAAAAATCCGGAGGCGCCAAGCGATCAATAAAGTGCATCCGTATTTCACTGGTGCAATCAATGATGCAGTAACCAAGGGAATAACTGCCATTACCCACATTAAAAACAATTATAAACATAAATCTTGAAGAGGTTTGTACATTTCTACAGTGAATTGGACTTTTATGCCTTTACCCCTGGGCTTGTGGGGATGCCTACTAATAGCAAGGAAAGAGCTCTTCCATTGCATATAGTATCCGTTTGCTTTTGCTAATGATGAAGAGAAGTAAGGATCAGGATTTAAATTGTTCTCATACAACTTCTCTAGTTTAGTTCAGACTAAGCTTCAGTGTTAGGATGTTAATTTGGACACATTGAAGATGGTAGCTCTAGCACTAACGGTTTTCAGGAGGAATAGCTTTACTTGAGAAAAATACAACATTTTCTACAGACCCGTGGATCTTTCTGTAGAAGGGTATGTGGGACAGTTCCAGGTCTGGCTGCAACATCAATAGGATTGGAAGTCTAGAAATACCACAAGGAGAGACAGTGTTAATGTGTAACACAACACATAAACGCAACAGAAAGTGAAAAATAATACTTCTTTATCATTAACATGGCCTAAGCAACGAAGACAAACTTTTTAAAGAGGAAAGGATAACCATTATAATCCACTTAGTAATATATGTATTATCATCTCAATTTTCAAACTTCCATTGTCCACCAACTTCCCATTACTTAAATCCAAAACACATGAGGGAACAGTGACTGTTTACACTGGAAAATCTTTCCACAATCGAAAACCTGATAAGCAACATACTTATGAGACGGCATCTAAAGTAGTATTTGGAGGACCAAGCTTGTGCTCTGCTGCTTATGAATAATGCACTGGAACTGGCTAAAACTGCTAACCTGACTGTCAATGCACAAAGCATCAGTAACCTCTTTAGTCACTGTAGAAGGATCTGAACTCCATCCACAATGAACTGTTACCATACGGCTATTTGGAAAAGGCAACATCCATTGAAAAAAATTACAGCTTTTCCCATGATTTGAATGTAAATATTCAGCTAATATAACAAAATGCATCTTTGTGGGAAAAAAACAACAACACAACTACATTTAGACAGAGCATCTTCCTACGTTAAAATGAAGAAAAATAGAAATCAACTACAGTATAACTAACAATTAAGTAACAGAGTTGTTAACAGTCTGATTACCATACATACGAAGAATTCCACTAATGAACTGCAATTTACATATTCAGTCATTACAGTGGATGGGCCAATTTAAGAAAGAAGGTGTCTTCTCTGCAGAAATTTCAGTCCTGATTTCAGTCTTTAGTTGCAAAGACTACAGACTAGAGAATATGATTTCCTCCCACTTATAAATCAAGAGTAACTTCATGAAAACAAAAGGAAAAAAACCCCAAACTCATCACATTTATCTATCCTAGCTATCACAAATGAGAGAACTAAATCAGTGTATTCCATTGTGGTGGAGCTGGGAGATAATTATGGAAATGAGTAAACAATAATGATCACGATTTCTTAAAATCTTGATTATTACATGACCTTACATAAATGCGTACTCTCCGAGAACTAATTATACTGCTTCTAAAGTTAACTATGCCTTTTTTTTTTTTTTTTTTTTTTTAATGTATGTAGATATATCTAAAGCTAATGAGAAGTAACTTCTCTTTGTAGTAAGTTCGGAAAAAGCCAATTGTCCTCCATGGAATTAGGCTGTAAGTCAGATCTCAATTGCTCCAGAATCTGAACCATGTTCTAAACCTAAACCTAATCTGGCTCACAACATCAGTGTATTTGAGTAGTAACAGATACACAAATAATTCCTTTCCTACCTTGGGTTGAAATGCTCCTTGTAGCGAGCCAAATGGGCCAGTTGGAGGAATCATGGGAGGAATACCTGATACAGCTGGAGGATAGGAGTGAAACAGCTGTAACAAAAAGATAGAAGAACGTCAAAATGAAGACAGGAAGTTGAACAAGATAGCGAAAGCATTCCTGAAAAAAGGGGAATGGTACATGGAGAAAACTGAGAAGCATTGAAGAAGTGATCTCGTTGGAACAATGTTAGTTAAAGCAGTCAATGAAATGTTCACAAATGTCATGACGTTTAGAGCTTAAAAGCAGTTCCAAAATCATAAAGCCAGCAACCTGTCCCCTGGATTTAGGCCATAGCGTAAGAGATTTTTTTTTTTCAATTATTAATTTTTAAATCGGATAGAGGTTTTAAATGGTTTCAGTTTGCAAGCCATTTCAAGACGAAAGGCAGAATACTGAGCCAAATAAGACTCAGAAATCTACTGTTTAAGTGGAAAAAACCCTTACGAGTTCTAGGATATTGTATCATTAAAACTCCATTAGTACGTTAGGATTTTAATGGTATCTGTAGGAAATGAGGAAAATACGCACAATTCTTACTTCATTAGTCTGTCTGAGAGGATATCCTGCCACATCTAGTATTAGCAGAGAGACAATCTGATTTGTTAAAAATTATTATTTAAACAAAATGTTGAGGAAGAACCCCCCCAAAAAATTTAGGGTACTGTTTTTATAAAGACAGACTACTAAGCATAAAAAAGTGCACATCTCCACTGACCTCACTGATCCCAACGTATCTGTTCTAGAAGAATTAAAAAAAAAAAAGCTGTTCTGTCCTAATGCAGACAAACACATGTGAAACAAGCAAGTAAACCGTAACATCCAAATCTTATCTTGTCTCTGTGGTCCGGCTGTGAATCTTTTACTCATGCTGTAACACAGTTAACTCGCCCAATTCCACGGAAAACTCTGAGATTACACACAAAACTCTTTCTGGTAGGAGCCAGGGGTTCAAAGAATCACACTACAAATATGTTCTCACCATGAAATCTCAGGATCTAACAGGGGATGGCTGCTAACTCTGCTGGTATTGCCACCCAAAAACCTAAAGGGGTTATCTGGCTGATACAAATTCACCTCTGAACACAGCTGATCAAAAATCAATCTAATCTAATGTATGCTACTTTTAAGATCAAAATAAATGAGTTAATGGCCAATTGAACAGAAGCAGGACTGGGCAAAGTAAAAGACTGGACATGTGGAGTGGGCAAACACTGAGAAAATCACATCCCAGAGTAAATCAGTATCGCAAAGTTTTAATGAATTTGTTCATGCCAGGCATATGTATGCGCTTTTCTTAATCGTTTTTCCTTCCACCAGCTTATCTTGCAAGGTCATTTATTCATATTATATTTACTGAAAGCTGAGAAAGTATTTCAGTATTTTAGAGGTATCAAATATTTTCTTGGTTTAAAAGCATGGTATCAAGTCTCCTTTCATAACACATTTCTATTGTTGTTTTTAATTCTATTTAATTTGGACCTGCTCCATTCAATGATGCAGAAAGCATTTTTAGATTAGTTGATACTGAACTGTAGGCATTGAGAAATCATTAAGAGACACGTGTCCTCATTTACAATAACTTTTAATGAGTAAAATGCGTTTTAAATCGTCCAGTGTCTTCTGCATTTAATTCTGTGTGTAATGGACTAATTCCAAATGATGAAAAGAGACGCAATACTTAATATTCTATTGGCTATGACTAATAATGAGGAATGCTTTCCTTAGAGTTTTATAACAACTAGTAAGATAATTAAATGTGACCTTTCCTCAAGGTCAGAGTTATTAATAAAATATAAATATTGTATCTCCAGGATCTCTTTGTATCAGTTAAATTCCTCCAGCTTTCAAAATACATCTTTCATAGTCAGTGTTTCCTTTTTCTCCCTCTCTTTTGAGCAACGTTTTCCCCTTCTAGCTTTCTTCAAGGAACAATGTAGTACCCACAGCTTTCCTGGGGCCAGGTGCAATGCAACATTAAACTAGACCCAGCGTTAACTGTAGGTAAAAGTAATGCCTCACTGTGCTACACTAAGGCCCTCCCAAAAAAGAAATGATTGTAACATCAAAGATGCCAAGAAAGAAAACTGTTTTAAATCTCTACATGAGCTTTTATGTGAGCTGTGTTCCCTATTCTAAAGTAGATTGATTTTAACTCTCAAACAGACCTTGTTCTCCTGCAAAGTTCACTTACAAGCTTTAAAAACATTGCCAGCTTTTTTTAAAGATACCTGAATTCTTGGTGTGGAAATTCTTATAGTGGAAACCCTTGTTACTAGGAAAAGGTCTATGGAAGTGCCACCGTTTCACAATATTTCTACAACAGGAAAAGCCCTATCGGGTATGCACTTATGCCAGAAAAAGTATGCTTTTTGATACCACGGCTGCTCAGGAAACTGATGCAAGCAGTTCCTCTGTTACCTATATAATCTACAGTCATAGTAGAAGAGATTACTGGAATACCCTGGCTAGTATGGCCTTGCTGTAGTTTAAGAAAGACTGTTAATCCAATGTGATTTGTAGCCATCATGTTGATCTTCTGGTATTAGCTTGCTAAATATCCAACAGACACAACAGTGATTATTTTGCAACCACTTCACAAGGACAAACCTTTCCTGAAGGAACGGCAGGGGAGGCACAATGGACCAGACCTCTGCTGGTGGAGCTCTGCCACGTTCAATAGCATGGCTCGCTGGCTAACACAGAACGACGTGAAGCCTTGCCTTACTTTAAACGGGGTAATACCATGACCTTTACAATTCAGGTAACTGCCAGATTTATAGGAGATTATGTCACTGAATTTGAAAAGCATATACAGTTGGAGACTTTTGCAGTGTTTCCTATATTACATGTTGACTTCTGTGCTGTATTTGTCTAAAATTCATTTACCTATTTCCCAGTTCTGTGTTCTTGCTTGAATCAACATGCCACATTGATGACAATATATCTTTTGAATCCATGTAAAGCTCAGCAAGTAAGAGTGCAATTTTGCAAACAATGATGCAAATAAGCAGCATTACCTTCTTGAGTAAAAGTGATTATCATAGGCTTAAATGTTTGCCTAAGACTCCTAGAGCTCTGATCCTGCAAACACACTCATACAGTTAAAGTTACTCAAATGAGGAGTCAGAAATTAATCGGACTATTCACATGTACTACAGGCATGAGTTATTAGCAGGAACTGTGTTTAATCGGTACAGCAAAAGCATCACACTATCGTATTAACCAGTTTTTTTTGCCCAGTTCCACTTCTAAGCAAAACCAACACATACAGCCAAATGCTTTGCAAATTTCTGAGTGCTGATGCAGTACTCCTTCTCTCATCAAAATATCACTATTGGATTTAGAAATTCTTGTCATATTCAACCAGATACCTGCCTCTGCCAATATGATGGAGGAAATGCAACCCGTATTTCAGCAGCAAATGAATCAGTAGATTCAAACTCTTAAGAGCAGCAGCTTTACAATTAACTGGAATATTAAAAATCAGTTCATCTCAATAACATTTTTGGTAGCTCTTAGATAAACACATCGAGTGCACAGCTGGATTCATGTTGCTGTCATCAAACAGAGCTTTCAAAACGTAACAAGCCCAGAGGATCAGATGTGCCTTTGAAATCTGAAGAATAAGACAAGTTTTCAGATTTTATAAACCAAAATATGATATATTAGGAAAACTATTAGATTAGCTATCCCTGAAGGATCTGTATGATAGTTTGTCATTTCATTTCAAGTTTCTTTGGAAAAATATCAGTCTAAGGGTTTGTGGCACAACTGAAACACAGTGATGAAATTACTGCTCTCTCCTGCTTTATGTAACAGTCAGCTCTTCTGTCTCATCTTTTTCACATCAAACCTGTCTTCAAATGGTGCATGAGCAAGAGATCTTTTGATTGGAAAAGCTGATACTGCATCTTTATCAGAAACAAGCACCGTGAATGCAAGCCTTCAAAAGCCAAAGCAACCAAGAACGATAATGGTAAATCCTGGAGGGATGATCAGGGCGAGATTCGACATTGTGCCATTGATTGAGTGGTGATCCCAACCCACCACAGAAAAGCAGTTAAGTCAGTTTTAAACAGAGTAATAAAACTCACACTGTGACGGTAGAAGGGGTCAACTTTTGTAGGGTATTTGTCAAACTGCAAAGGGATCAAAGCACAAACTAGTTACTTTATATTTCCTTGCTTTACTTCTGTTGGTAAAATAGAAGATCACTTCTCTATTATTTGGCAACCAACAGAGAGGAAAAAATACGCAGAAAATTAGTTTCCAGTGAAACTGTTCGGGATTTTTCTTTCTTCAAAGTAAAACAAGGTCTTTACGAGACAGGAGAAAGGAGGAGGCACCAGAGTGCACCACTCAAGCACCGGGAAGTCCCAAGCACGAGCGCTCCTTCAGCCAGCAGCCTCGGCCCTCAGCCCCTGCGCTGCCACCTGAACCTGCTGCACATGTGACAATCGCGAGGAGGGCACAGTCCTTCCTCTCCTACCCAACCACACCTGGGCAGCGGTACTCCTTCCCCGCAACCTGGCAAATTCTTAAATTTTTGTAATAAAGAATAGAGTTGTGCTCTACTTATCCTCACATTTCTGCCTGGGGTACGCACCATGGGCGGTGCTGGCGTTGGCATGATGGCAGTGGGTGGGATGGCGTGAGGGAAAGGCGTGAAGGTGTGCTGGTGTGTGTGTTGGTGTGTGTGCTGGTGCTGGTGCTGGTGCTGGTGGAACTCGGTCCTCAGGTACGGCGGCGGGCCCAGGGAGGCCCCGCGATCTGCGCTCTGCGAGGCCAAAAATCGCGTGTTTAGCTCCTGACGGAGAAGATCTTGTTCTGAAATACAAACAGCAAAACAAATCCCCATGAGCTCAGGGACTTTTCCAGACCTTCTGCCACTTACTTTTTGCTGGTTGTGGTAGCAATGCTGTATTTAAAACCTCCTGGTGGTAAATCACAACACTGTACAGGGCAAGAAAGCTCCCTCAGATCTTCCCCAAAGGCCTGAGAGACAGAAGAAAGTCTCCATTTCCCCTCTCTCACCAAGCTTGTCTTCACTACAGCATTCCTCTGAGCATTAACCTGAGGGTGCTCCATAAATTTGTATGGTCGTGGACATAGTCCTAAATAGGTGAGGAGGTACGGGTAACCTGGAGTGAGTAAACATCGAGTGGCTGCTGCTAACAAGAGTACCCTGCTGCATGGACACAAAACGGTGTTACTCAAACACTGATAATCCTCCACTTTCTTCGCCCAGTTCCCTCTCAGTGACCTGGGAGGAACAGACATGTTACATCTCCCCACAGTCAAAGTATAAAAGAGCACAATTTTCTACACTGATAAAAATCTCTACATCCCACCCCCCTGCCCGCACAATCTTGCAGGTGCACGAGCTCAGGACCGCTGTGCGCACAGCCACTGGAGACCTTCCCTCTAGCCAGGGAAGCAACGCTGAGCACAGACCATAACTGCAGCAAAGACGTTCGCTAAGGGGGTCACAGATTCTCTGTGGGCACATTATGAACTCCGGTGTGTTTTTACCATAGGGAGAAAAAAACAGACGTGGAAAAAGCACAGCCTTCCAAAAACGTTCATTCCCAGGGCGGAAGAAAAGTCATCTTGTTTAGGTGTTTTTTGGCTTTGGTATCACTCCAAATCGTTCAGCGATGAGCACAGCCTCTACCCAACCAACCATCATCAAATGGACCAAAAAGAATTATTCTGACTAAAACTGGGGAATTGGCTGCCTACACTGCCCTAGACACGCTCGGGCCACGACCCGTCTGTCTCTTACCTGAGTAAGTACTACCAGCTGGGTGTCCTGGAACCTGCAGTGTCCCTGACGTCAATGGAGGTGGAGGAGGCAAAGCCGTAGGAGGGGCAAACATATTGGGGTGATGTGGGTGTGCGGGGGGCTGGAGGGTGGGCGTGAAGGTATGCAGCGGGCTGTGGCTGGGTAAAGAGAGGGGGAATGGTGAGGCTGAGGGGTGGTGAGAGATGTGTGGAGGAGGGGCCTGAGTCTTGGCAGGAGTGCTGCTTCTGCTGCTGCTGTTAATGAAAAGAAAAGCAATTAAGCGTTGCACGGAAGAGAGAAAAGCTCCAAACGTACACATACACAACCCCACCAAGCTATGCACGGCTCACATTAAACACATTACTAATGTAAGTTGTGTATTACAAATGCAAGTTACTATTTCACTTTTCTAGCTATTCCACCGTGATACTCCTTTCTCCAACCATCTGCTGTACCTCTTCTGGTACCTTTTACTTCCTGTGGTCTCTCCACACCAAAACCTGAGACATATTCTCCCTCTCTGTAAGAGGTTGATGTTCTGCCCTCCAACAACGTAGGAATGACACACAAAGGAGTAATCAGCCCTGTGCATTCATTACTTAATTACCAGGTCCTTTCTACATCACTGCTTCTGATTCATGTTTTCAGGTAAATGAAGCTCAAAATCAGTGATCACCACATTAATAAAAGTTTAATCTTTTTTGCTATGACTTAGTAAGATGAAAGACTGCAGAAAATGTGAAACGAAGTTGAGAAGGCAACAAAAGATATATGCTTATTGTACAGTTAATGCCTCTCTCTATCCCCACAATATACAGAGATAAGATGAGTCAGCAAAATAAATACTTGCAATTACAACTGGTTGCAATTTTTCAGGTTTCATTTCCTACTAATGAGTATTTAAAATATATTCACGTAGTGCTTCATTCTACTTGTCATTATTTCACGTAACGACACGCTTCTATTGCAGTGACTTTTAAAGACAAGCAATACCGCTTTGGTTAAAAATAAACCAAAGTCTTAAACACCTCCCAGTCATTAGTCAAACTATGAAGCAACCATAATGCTGGTTTACCAGGTCCTGAAGGATACCATCTGTCTGCTGGAAGCTCAGATCTGGGGGAAGATGACCTAGTGCAGACAGCATGAGCTTAGAGTAGGGGAAACCTGAGGTCCCTGACTCACAGAGACATCACGGGTTCCTGTGAACATCTTGTTTAATCTCTCTGTTCAGCTTTGTTATCCCCTGTGAAAGATGAGGTTTATCTCACCTTGGCCAGGTGAAGAGAAAAACACTGAAGACTGCAAGGTGTCTGCAGTGCAGGAGAAAATTAAGCTTTGAAGTCATTGGTGCAAGCCCGTTTGTGCTAGGCTGTCAGCAGGGCCAACAGCAGCTGTAACATACTTCTTGCTCTAGGGCATGTCAGTAGTTGGAAAAAGCAGAAGATGTTTACAGGGATGGGAGGGTAAAAGAAGTTAGCCTTCAGAGAGCAGCCCAACCTGCAAGAATTGGGATTTTCTTCTCCTGGTCTAAACTGCATAAAATTCCCTCCAAACACCTGAGTACACAACGACAGTCAGGAAAAGTAAAAGCAAATTAACTCAGCGCTCGAGAATACCTAGCATTTATGGGAACACCAGATCAGAGATAAAGTGATCCTAGCTCAGTTCAGGGAAGGAACTAAGGTTAAATGCACAAAGTCCCCTTTATTTCCCACCGACGGGACGGGATGTGCTGTCCCTTCTCTCCTTCAGCTAATTCATCTCCAGTTCCTCCACTGTACAGCATCACCACCAGGCAGCAAGTCTGCAAAGACACGGGGCTCCAGCGCACACGCGTTTCTGTTCGCCTACCTTAAGCTGTTGAGGCTTAAACTGCTGCTGTTATAGGCAGAGAGTGGCTGCGAGAGGCTCTGAGAGGCCGGATGGGGCTGCACCGGAGGGAGGTTTGGATGGGCCGGCTGCACCGGCGACTGCGGCCGGGGCGGGTGCTGG